TCCACTGATCTACCACTCTATTTCTTAGCCAGTACCAAGCAGTTTTGATGATTGCTGCTTTATAATACAATTTAAGATCTGGAATGGCTAGGCCACCTTCCCTTGCATTTCTTTTCACTAGTTCCCTTGATATTCTGGAACTTTTGTTATTCCAAATGAATCTTGTCATTATTTTTTCTAACTTCATAAAATAATTTTTGGTAGTTTGATGGGTAAGGCGTTGAATAAATAAAATTAGCTTAGGTAGAAATGTCATTTTTTATATTAGCTCGGCCTACCCGTGAGCAGCTGATGTTTTTCTAGTTATTTAGATCTGACTTTATTTGCTTGAAAAGTGTTTTATAATTGTGTTCATAGAATTCCTGGGTTTGTTTTGGTAGGTAGACTCCTAAATATTTTATAATATCTATAGTAACTTTAAATAGAATTTCTCTTTCTAGCTCTTGCTGTTGGGCTTTGTTGGTAACATATAGAAATGCCAATGATTTATGTGGGTTGGAAGAAGTAGTGTCACATAGAACCAGGTGACAATACTAGAAATTGCTGATATAAAGGCATCCTGCTCAATGTTTATTGCTATATATGTTAACTACCGCTTGTTTTGAGTTTGAGGAATGGTCACTGACCTTGTTTGGATTTTTCACAATGTTAGAGAGAACTATTATACTCATACTACTAGTCAAATGCAAGTTTCCAGAAACAGGTGAGCCATAATTTCACATACATTCCTTTAGACTTTACTGAGATAAGCCGCTGAGGCACATGTAGGCTGATCCTACATAGGAACTATCCTGTGGGGTGCTTGTACGCTAAGACACAATTCTAGTATGAGTGAGGTGCACATCCATCCATTAAACATGGGTGCAGCGGCTCCCCTCTGCCCACACATCGTGTGCTGCACATGTGGGCAGCCCTTCAGTCCTGGTATATATACATACATATATATATATATATATAGCCTAGATTTACTTATTTGCAAACATTGTATTCCCTCAGTGGAATGAGAACTCCTTGGGGGCAGAATTTTTTTTTTTTAACTTATATCCCCAGCACTTATTAGGTACCTGATAAAGTACATGTTGATTGATTGGTGGTGGTGTGATGCAGAGCATTAGTAGAATAGTGGAGAGGTTTGAGTTAAATGTCCACACTTACCCTCTACCCCCACCCTGGCCCTACTTCAGCCAGAGCTTTTGTGAATGATGAAGCTATGGAGCAGACCTTGAGCAGTTTGATTTAACTTTGTCCCCAGGTCTGTTGATCTGGGTTGTAGGCTTTTTGGGCAAGGAAGATAGCTCTCAGTCTCTGGCAGTGAGCTCTGAAGATCCTGAGAAATGTTGCTCCTTTCTTTTAACCTTTTTGCCAGTAGCTTTTATCTGCTTTTATCTTCCTGTGAACTGTTTTTTTTAACTACCTTGGGTACTGTTTTTACCTGGGGGAATTTAAACATTTTTATTAAAAGGATTGTTTATTTGAACTCTCAGACTTGCAACCACCACCAAGACAGATGAATTGCCATATTTATACAGCTCATCTACCAGTCTAATAACCTTGTCCAAAAAAAAGGAAATAAAGTTAGTCTAGTGTGACTTGTTCTTAATGAAGCCATGTTGGCTCCTACTGCTCATTGATTCTTTTTTAGATATACACTGATCATACCTTTAAAAATAGGTCTACAAGGACTCAAAGTCAAGCTCTCTTGTCTATTATTTGCAGACACCACTATTCACTTTTTTGAAAATTGGGGCATTTGCCCTTCTCCAGTTCCTCTTGTTCTCTATAATCTTGAAAAGATCCCTGACAGAGGATCAGCAATCATATCTTCCAAGACCCTGAGATATACTTAATCTTGGTCTGCTGACCAAGTCACCAAAGGCAGCTAAGTGCTCTCCTGTTGTCTCATTACTTATCTTGTGTTTAAACTCTCTATCTACCATTTTTGTTGTGTCCTTTCAAGTCCAAAGATCATTCTCCTTGTCTAAGAAAACAAGTAAAATAAGAGTTGAGCAACTCTACCTTTTCTCTGTCATCCTACCCCTTTTTTGATCCTCCTCTTGTGCCCAATATATGTCATCCCTAGTCCAGTGGCAACTAAGAAACTCTCACAGAACCACCATGAACAACAGATACTTGTGTCTATGTTCGCATACTACTTTCCACATGTAATCCTATGGGCTTGGTCAAAGGTTATGTGGTTAACAATAATAATTGCTAGCATTTATAATAAATTCAACATGATACTTTAGAAGCTGTCTTGCTTGTCTCTGTTTCCTTCTGAACTTCCTTTTCTCTTGTGCATATAAAAAATGTTTCAATTTTTATTTCTTCTTGGGGCAAGGGGGTCAGGAAATGCTAAGTATTTTTAAATCCCCATTTAACATGTATTTTTCAGAGATTATCCTACCCTTAAAGATGGAAATCTCCTCAGTGACAAAGCAGAGGAAAAAGCTCTGATCTAGCAGGTTGGGCTCTTAGGTGGGCTTGTGTCAGCATGCAAAAATTGCTTCAAGTGAAATGAAAGAGACAAGAGAATTCAGGAGGAGATACTGGGAAACAAAAAAGTAAGAAATGAGATGTGAAGAGGCAATTGTACTCAGCATCTGGAGAGTTTTCTGGTGTGATTTAGGGGATGGGAGATGGATTCAATTTGGAGAGATGAAAGGGAGGAATGTGTGGAACATGGCCATGGTATCCCTGAACCCAGCAGTTCCAATGGAGCTGAAGCATAGAGTCCCCCAGATTGGTGCAAAGAGATTTCAGGGAGTCTTAACTTGTTGGCCCCCATGCCCTTCCCCCAAATTCCCAGAGAATTCTATGAAGTATGCAGAATTGAATCTGAAGTCTTTTACCCCTAGTGTTAGTTCTAAGATAACACTGTCCATCTCCTGTGGGGGTGGGGGGCAAGGGTGGCGATAGTGGGAAATTAGTTATGTTAAAGAGGCTGTTCTCTGGGGGGAAAGGGCAAAGATACCTAATGATAAAACAGGAGGTGCCCCATTGACAAGGTATTATCTCTCCCTCTCCAGCACTTGCCAGAAGAATGGGGGAGGGGAATGAGGTTTATCTGTAGAGTGAGGGTGTTTGATCTTCAAAGCTCCTTCCAACTTTAACATTTTTTGTATTTATGTTCCCACTTTGACAGTCTATGTTTTATATTCCAAGATCCCTTCCAGTTCTGACAGAGGTTGTAACCCTATGATCTGTTTTTCTTTGCCCCCGTTTCCACTTAATTTTTGTTATTGGGGCCATAGAATTTTCTCTTGAAGCTTCAGCTCCTCCACCTGCCTGTGGAACCAAACCTGTCACCGAAGCAGGCCAGATAAAAACCACTAGGACTCACGTGCCTAACACTGGGTTAGTCTTGCTGCTGGTTCCATTTTGTTCCTATTCCCCAGAGGCCTTGCATCCTAATCTAGGAACCAGGCTTTGGTTCTACCCTCACTCCATGCCTGAATCCACATCTAGTATCACATTTTCCCCAGGACAATAATGCTAGGAGACAGTCTCTTTCCCCTAAGTCTTTCCAAAGACTCTTTTTTTAAAAAAAATTTTTTTTATTTTGATTTATCAACAATCACTTCCATTTGCTTTTGAGTTTAAAATTTTTCTCCCCCTTCCTCCCCACCACCCTCCCCAGATGGCGCACAATCTGATATAGGCTATATATATACATTCTTATTAAACATATTTTCAGATTAGTGATGTTGTAAGTAAAATTTAGAACCAATAAGAGGAACCACCAGAAAGAGGAAACAAAACTCAACAGAAGAGAAAAAAAAATAGCAAATAGTATGCTTCGATCTGCATTCAAATTCCATAGTTCTTTCTTTGGATGTGGATAGCATTTTCCATCATGAGGCCTTTGGAGATGTCTTAGAACCTTGTATTGCTGGGAAGGGTTTAGTTTATCAATATTAGTCATCATACAACATGGCTGTTATTGTGTACAACATTCTCCTGGTTCTGCTCATTTCACTCAGCATCAGACCATACAAGTCTTTCCAGGTTTTTCTGAAGTCAGCCTGTTCATCATTTCTTATAGCACGATAGTATCCATTACATTCATATACCACAACTTGCTCAGCCATTCCCCAGTTGATGGGCATCCCCTCAATTTCCAATTCTTTGCCACCACAGAAAGAGCTGCTATGAATATTTTTGTACATGTGGGTCCTTTTCCCATTTGTATGATCTCTTTGGGATACAGCCCTAGAAGTGCTATTGCTGGGTCAAAGGGCCAAAGACTCTTTTGCCACATCTCCCCAATCCCTCCCTGTTGTCTGCTTCTTGGATTTCCTCTGCTGGTTTTCTCAGGTCCTGTGATTGTCCAGACAATCTCACCACTGACTGAACCCAAAATGGCACTCTATATCCTAGTCCTCCTTGTAGGCCCTACCAGCGATGGGAGAGGGTGTGGTCACCAGAAGCTAGGGCCACATATTTTTGGAGGGTAAAGTCAATCACTCAGCAAAAAAAAGCACTGGATTGGAAACTTCTTGAGGGCAGAGGATGTATCTTATTTTATACTTGTATCTTCTTCAGTACCCAGAACTGCCTTAAACATAACAGACCTTCTATAAGTATTTATTGAATAGAATTAGACTGAATAGTCTGTCTCAGTGTCCATTCCCACCCTTCTAACCTCTTAAGGATGCGGTGAGTAACAGGTTATATTAATGCTTTATAGAGAGGCAATGTAGTACAGTGGGCGGGATATTGGACTTGGAGTCAGGAAGAGCTGGGTTTAAATCCTAGATCTGATACTTATTAGCTACTGGGAAAGTGACTGACTCTGTTTCCTCATCAATAAATGGAGATAATACTATCGATCTCATGATACTGTAAGGTCAGATGAGATGTTAAATGCCTTGCACACTTGAAAAAGCTATGTAAATGTTATTATTACTGTGTAAATTTCAGGTCAGAAAATGAATGTGGTGAATGATGTCATGCTGCCTTATATAATTCACTTCTACATACTATTTTTTCATGTTTTACAGAAGCTTATGATGCAACAACCTTGTGAAATAGGTTTGTACTATGGAGTTCCATACTTGATGGGTGAGGGGTATGTACCTTCCTCCATGAGTTCCAGGGCTGGAATCCCAGATAAGACTATGGACAGCGAAGATTTGCAAAGGGTAGATCTGTTCATAACAGCTTGGACACTATTCCCCCTTTCCTCCTCAGGTTTCCAAAATACTACAATGGAAAGGAAAATATGCAAACTCCTTCCTTGGAATCTATGGCAATAGGAAGGGATGGCCACTGAGGTATAGGATGAGTCACTTAGACCTGTCATTCAGCTTCCCTCCTGTCCCACCTCCTGTAACTCCCATTAGTGCCCCAGTCACTTGGCCAGCGTGTATTTTCTTGTGTTCGTTCTCAAAAATATAAAAATGGTCCCTTCAGCACTCTTCTGACTCCATTTTCCACTTATGACCACCCAGAATAGTTATTCTACTAGTCAGGTGACTTCATCTCATTTCCTGATGCTCTTATACCTTTGTCCATGCTATAGCCTGCACCTTAAATAGAATCCCATCTCCTTTCTGTTGGTTTTCAAGAACTAAGTGGTTGAACTCAAATTTTCAAGAACTCAATGCTTACCTCCTCAGAGAAGTCTCACCTAACTAACCCTGTTCTGCCCTGATGATATTTTTATTCCATGTCCCTTTATGAACAAGGGGAAGGGAGGGAAAGGAGGGATTGTTTGGTTTCTTGGTTTCTTCTAAGAAGTCACGGAATGCTGAGAATTAGGAAAGAACTTCCTTAGTTGTGTAGCCTAATGCTCTCAGAGAGGTGAGGTGACTTGTCCAGAGACACAGGTAGGTAGTAGCACAACCGTGGGACCAGGACTCAGGTATGTGGGGTTCACTATAATATTCTAAACATTTGTTTCTATCTTGCTTTGTAATTGTCATCTCATGGGACCCAATGGACTTATCTCTTCATCTAAGGTAAAAACTCAAAGGGTTGGGCTGTCTTTTGATTATTTTTTCCCCTGTATTTTCTCATGTTCCCAGTAGTGTTTCATACAGTAGCTGCTTAAGAAATGTTTGTTGGGTGAATGGAGGATTCATGAGAGTAGGCCTCTGTCACTGCACTGCTTCCTTCTTTGTGTTCAATGAGACCATGTTCCTGAAGGGTTCTAGCTCTCCACTACATTATTTGATCCTGACAATCTTTGTTCCCCTTTGCAGTTGGTGGGAGGCCCATCTTCATCACTCTTAGGATTGACTAGGCTTCAGGTCATTTCCCTCTCCTGAGCTTGGCTTCCATTTCATTCTATGCGAGCCTCTGGAGGAAAGTGACCTCCATCTACCGTGCCAGCCTCCTGAGGGAAATGTTGAGGATAATTGGCTAGGTGCAACTTCCTACCATGTGGGTCCAGATTTCTATCTCCTACCATGTGGGAAACTGACTTCCATCCCCTGCTGCATATCTACAGTATGTCTTTCATCTTCTACTGCACCATCCCCTACCTGATCTCCAGCTTCCAGAAGGAAGGAGTGGAGAAATGGGAGCCTTCCATCTAACAATGGGTCTTCCGTTCTGTGCTGTCCATGTCTTTTCTCTGATCTCCAGTCCCTTGCTGGGAAGAAGAGAGGAATCCCTCACTTGATGTTTAGCGTACTCATACTTGGTCATATCCTACACATTCCAGTAATTCTGAACTCCTGTAGGTCATCACCCAAACTCCATTGCCCATCCTCCACTACTCAATTCCTTATTCATATCCCTCTCAACCCACCCTCCCCAAAGTTCTAACCAAATACTACCTACCCCTTTCACTGTGCTCTCTGGAATGCCTGCTCCATAGGCAACAAATTTGTTTTCATCTTATGTCTTTTCCTACTCCTTCCATCTTATGCCTATAACTGAGACCCAGCTACCCCTGATAACCACATAACCACAGCCTCCCTGATCATTCTTTCCACTATTGGCTGCATTTTCAGTCATTGTCTCCAGCTCACTCGTCAAAGTGGGGGAGTTGGAATATTTCTTGCTCCTCATTGCCACTTCTAGGCTTCCCCCACCCCATCACCAGCACTCTCTTCCTTTGAGGGCTATACAGTCCACATCTTTCACCCAATCAAAATTACGATAGTTGTTTACAGACCCTCAGAATCCTCCCCTTTCTTCCTTTGGAGTTCAGCACCTGGCTCACAACCTTTCCCCTTCAACTCCTACATTCAGGGACTTCATCTTACTGATATTCCCACAAATACTCTTACCTCCTAGTTCCTCAACCTACTCACTTACTATGACCTCAACAACATATCAAGATGGTCATACTCTTGTTCTTTCCATCACCTACAAATGTACCACCTCCATGTTCAAGAACTCTAAAATTCCCTTATATGATCCCAATCTATTGGCTTTCTACTTCTTCCTCTGCTTTTCCATACCAAATCCCACTGTGACTTAACAATTTCTGGACCCCTCAGTCCTCTCCCAGGCCATCACCCCCACATTAGCCACACACTCTCCTTTCATCATTTTGATCCCTTGTAAACTAGCTCAACTCTACACTATCCTCTTGAGTCCCTGTACCCCTTATATTGCCAGTTGTGCCCTGGATCACTTGCACCTTTGCTACTACACACGTACTACTGAATGAAAATGGAGAAAATCACCCAACTGCTCTGATTGGGCCCACTAAAATTGGTTACATAATCTCAACTAGGCCCTCAATTCCCAGCTAGGAAATCCTTCTACATTTCTCTTTTCAACTCATTATCCCATTCCACAGAGGCCCTTCCAAACCTTCTCTGTCTCTCCTTTCTCCACCCTCTCATCTGAGAATCTTGCCTCATATTTTACTGAAAAAATTGAGGCCATTCACCCTCATCTTGTATCAATTTCAAATGTCTTCTGTCACCATTTCCTCCTTCACCCATCTCATTTGAAGAGATGGCCTTAGTCTTTGCGAAGGCAAACTCCTCTGTTTGTACAAGCAATCCCATTTCATTTTGTCTTCTTCAGCTGATTTTTCCCCATCATTCTCACTCTATCACTTATCTCCTAACTCTCTATCTACTGGCTCCTTCCCTACTGCCTACAAATATGCCTATGTCTCCCCCATCCTCAAAAAATTACTTGATCCTTCTATCCTATTGTTGTCCCACATCTCTTCAGCCTTTTGTAATTAAATTCCTTGAGAAAGCCATCTACAATAGGTGTCTCTACTAACCCCTCCTCTCTACAATCTGGCTTCTGAACTAAATTCAACTAAAACTGCTGTCTGGGTACTAGTGATCTCATGATTGCAAAATTGGCCTTCTCTCCATCCTCATTTTTCTGGCAGGCTAAGATAAGGAAAGGAAGAGAGCTTGTCTAGTGTAGGAGTGATGATCTAGGAGAGAACCAAAAGGTCAAAGGATTGGAAGTCATGGTATAGAAGAGTAGGTTTTGGTATGGGAATCCTATATCTCTTCTGCCTTTTGACACTGTTAAATCACCTTCTCCTTGATACTCTCTCCTCCTAGGTTTTTGGGACCCCCTTCATTCCTTGTTCTCCTATCTTACCACTCCTTGCTGGTATCTTTATCCAGGTGATGCCCCCTGAAGGTGGGTGGGATGTCCCATGGGCTCCCTTCTTTTCTCACTCAGTACTCCTTTTGGTGACCTCATCAGCTGTCATAGATTTAATTATCATCTTTATGCTGATGATTCTCAAATCGGCTTATCCAGTCTTAACCCCTCTGCTGACCACCTGTCTCATACCTCTAACTGCCTTTCAGACATCTTGAACTGGGTGTGCAATAGACACCTTAAACTCAACCTATCCAAAACTGAACTCATCTTTTCCCCTAAAACCTGTCCCCTTCCAAACTTCCCCATTACTGTTGAGGGTACCATCAATTTCCCACTCTCCCATGTTTACAAGTTAGGTGTTATCATTGCTTCACTATCTCTCACCTCTCCGTGTCCAATCTGTTGCCAAGGCCTGTTAATTTTACCTTTTTTCTTTTGTATATCCTCTCTTCTCTCCTGACACTGCCACTATTCTGGTATAGGTCCTTTTCTCCTCACACTTGGACTACTGCAATAGCCTGGTGGCAAGTCTGCTTGCCTCAAGTTTCTCTCCACTCCAATCCATACTCCATTCAGTTGCCAATGATTTTCCTAAAGTGCTGGTCTGACCCTATCACCTCCTTAACAAACTCCAGCAACTCCCTATCACCTCTAGGATCAAACACAAAATCCTTTTTGATATTCAAAGCCCTTCATAACCTCTCTCTCCCCTCCCTCCCCCAACATATTCTTCAATACAGTAATGGTCCTCCGTGCAGTTCCTAGAGCAAGACACCATCTCTTGGCTCCAGGTATTTTCACTGACTGTCCCCATGTCTGGGATCCTCTTCCTCATTTCTACCTTCTGGCTTCCCTTAAGTTTCAGCTAAAAATTCCACCAATTATAGAAAGCCTGATACCTTATAATATTTTAAAAAGTATTTATCCTATAAGTAATTTGATTTGCCCACCCTCTTTCTTCCAGGCCAGGGATCAGAGAGGAGACCACTGCTAATGCTGCATCCTACCTACAGATTCCCAGGCAGAGCATCACAGAGGAATGAAGAGAAAACAGACAGAGGAGCCAAGCCAGAGATCCCATGTGGTTTAATATCAGGAGGGCTGTGGGGTGGGGAGCAGGACAATCTCAAGAATAACACTTTCACCAAGTGGGTGAAATGAAACAGGATCCAGACATGATTCTTTACATTGACAATCACATTGAAATTTTCAAAATACAAGCAGCAGTTTGAATTAAATGTATCTTCTTAAAAAACAACAACAAAAGACAAAAAACAGAAACAAAAACAAACAGTGCCCCAGCCACGATCCACAGAGGGGTGGTGCTAGAAGCCAGGTACAGGCTCAGAACCAGCCTCCAAGGAGGCCCCCCCTGCCAGCTCAATGACTTGACAGAGGAAATATGAACGGGGCCCCTGTGGGGGAGGTGGTAAGATCCTGGCTTCTGTCCCAGTAGCCTCTGTATCATAAATGCAGCTGGGCATCACTTGTCCATTGCCCTAAAGGCCCACATAGCACACCAGCACATGGTGGCAGGGAGAGTCTTGCTGGGTCCCAGGGGGATAAAATGTCACTTTTCCTCCTCCTTTTTTTGAGAATCAAGTCCTTTCACGGGCTCTCCTATTGTGGCTGACCTTCCAGTGAAGCTCACTCCTTTGCTCCTGAAACCACTCCGGGCTGACAATTCCTTTGGTGGGGTTTTCCCCACCCCATTTTTTCTCTGTTCCTTCAAGCTGCTCCAGGAGAGGGCAGGAGGAACCGGGGGGGGGGGGCAGGCCACACTCCCACCCTACTATTCTCTCCCCTTCCTGCAGATGAGAGAAGGGAGAATGGGAAGCTTCACTTCTTCATTATCAGGTTGAGATGGATAACTATGGTAAAAGCAAAACAAAGGCGTTCCACACAAAATAAAACATGGAAAGGAACAACCAGAGAATTCTGGATTAAAAAAAAAATCTGCCAAGGGGCATTTCTTCTGGTCTTTTTACAAATGGTGGAGGAATACTCTGGAACATTTTCTTGCTGATGATGCAATAAATACAAAGTTTCAAATGAAAAATGAAAACACAACAAAAAACACCACATGGCTATGAAAAAGGTTCAGCCCCATCCATCTTGCTGGCCACTGGCTGATTCTTCACAGATCAAAAACAGAAATCTCCAAATCAGCCTGGACCCTAGCATCCTAGTCTCAGTGCCTGGCTAGTTGCAAATGGCCTTTATTTTTCGCATGAGGAACATGGTAAGGGATGATCACAGACAATAATGACCTTGAACAAATTTTACTCCTACCTGGGAGACTGTGGGCAGGGGAAGGGGTGAGGGATAAATGTGTGTTCCGAAAGTGCCAGATGAGGATGGCTTGGGTACCAACTGGAACAGACAAAGGGGGAGGGCAATAGGAAGGGATACCACCAGGAGGACTCTCCTTCAGACCTGGCTTAGATGCAGAACTGCATTAACAGGGTACTGTCTCCTTAGGGTGGGAGGTGGAGAGCGGTGTGAGCTGGGGGAAGAGGAGGTATGGGAGGGAAAGTCAAAATAATTCCATCTCCTGCCAGTGACAGGAGATGTAGCCCTGGCTGTGGGAAGGAACCAAGGGACGGGGAAGCAATCTAGCCCTCTCGTACGCTGACTCGAGGCTCTGCTAGTGAACTGTGAATGATGCCAATGATGGACTCCAGGCCACTGCCCTCCAACAATGTACGGTGGTCACCTTCAATGACGTGGACAGACACCTTCCCATCACAGACCTAGAAGAGCAAGCCAACGAGGTGGTTAGACCTTCAGCACCTCACCACCTCTCTACTCTTAGCTGCCCTTCAAGGCCAACCAGACAGCTTCCCTGTAACCTCCTTGATCACTGTAGGGATGGAAAGGGGAAATGAGGTTTCTCCTGAGAAGCCAAAGGAGCCTGACCCCTCAGAGAGGTGAGGAGACATGCCCAGGGACATGTGGCCTTGGGATTAGCACTTGGGTCTCTTGGCTCTCAGGCCAGTGGTCTTTCCATATCATACTGCTGTAAGCTTTTAGGAGAGAAATTTTATCAAAACCACTGTCTCATAGGATTCTAGTAGTAGTATCACTGTGGGCAAATGAGGGAGTGAGCCTCAATGTTCTGGTCCTGGGTCAGGCTGAGAGACCTGGGTCATGGGAGAAGAGCCTGTGTAGGAATTCAGGAGGGTTCAGCTCAATCTTCCCCAGGTGAAGGATTTGCCACATATGGTTCTGGTGCAGGGGGATCCTCGGGGAGGGTTTGGGAGAGCGTGGTCCTGAAGGGCATACAGAAGGCCTTACCTCTGACAGGTTGTAATCCTTGCCCAGACCCTCGCCATATTTGCTGCTGGTTTTGGCCCTTAACAGGGTCACATTGCCGTGATACTTGATTTTGGGTATATACTGCTCCGCAGCTCTTAGCTTGTGGTAGAAGGAAAATGCAGCGAAGCTGAGCTCTGTGCGGCTGATATGCCTGTGGTTCTGAGTTATCAGGTCCACTGTGGCGGAGACCCGGGCTTCTAGATCCTTCAGGGGCAGGAGCACCTCCAGTACCTGCAGGGGGAAGGGAGGCCAGGGAAAAGGGAATAGGGTTAGCAAGCTCCAGGACCCACACTACTGGAAGTCTGATCATTCTTTCCCTTGTCTGAAGCTCTGGCAAACATGAATATACTTTTTTTCCTTTTAAACTGAGAAGTCAGCAAGAAATAGCACAACTGGAAGGGACCTTGGGGATCATTTAGTCCAACCTCATTTAAGAAGAGAAGGAAACCCGAGAAAGCAAACTGACTTTCTCAAAGTCATCCTGGGCATCAATGGTCAAGCCTGGACCAGAACCCAGGTCTGCAGATGCTCAAGCTTGGCTTTCCCTCTGAATGTTGGAGGAATTTTAAATTAAGATTAATGGGATGGGCGTGTTAAGCCCCTTTTAACCCACTGAGATGGGGGCTGTGGCAGGATGCAATGATGAACAAGACTCAGTATCAAGGGAATACTTCACAAGAGGAGCAAAGGAAGGAAAGGCAAACAGGCAAACTTTTCAGAGGTAGAAGTGGGAGGAGATTCTGGTGGAAAGAATAGGATAAATGAGGGCAGACAGCCTGGACCCATGATTTCTTTAGCACAAGGAACTCCCTGATGAGGAAATTCTATCAGTGCAGGTTGGCACCTTCTTTGTGACTCTGTCTTAAAAGTTGTCTAGAGCACTGAGAGGTACTTGTCCAGGTCTTAGGGGTGTGTGGATCATGAACCCAGGTCTTCTTGGCTTCAAGGCCAGCTTTTCTATCACCACCAGTCTCTCATAATATAAGTGAAGAAGTGCAAATTAGGGAGGAGGGAAGAATCCAGTTTGGCTGAAGCTCAAGGGTATGTCTTAGGGAAAAGTGGGAAACAAGACAGGAAAGCACCTTGTAGAGTGGGTGCTGGGCAAATGAAGAGAAAGAGACAGGAAGGGAGGGAGAGAAGGAGGGATAGACAGATGGACAGAAGGAAGGAGGGAGGGAGAAAGGAATGGAGGCAGAGAAGGATGGATAGAGGGAGGGAGGGAGGAAGGAGGAGAGGGAAGTAAGAAGGAAGTGAAGGGAGAAAGGGGACGGGAGGAAGAAAGGAAAGGAGGTAAGGAGGGATGACTTCAGCCCGCTTTACTTCACGGCAGAGCGGACCAGAAGGAACGTGGTAGTGGGGATCGGGGGAGGGGGCTGAGAGAAATTACCTTGTTGTATTCAGCGTCCGTGAACTGCTGGACAAAGGCACACATTGCTTCTGTCTCTGCTTCTGCTTCACAGCCTGGGGTCAGCTTGGCTCGATAGCTCTGAAAAGGAGAGGTGAGAGTCACTGAGGCCGAACAAGGTCAGAGTCCAGGCTAAGTGACCAGAGGCACCAGCTGCAGGAGACTGTCTCATTGCTTCATAGTCAGTGTTCCTGGGAGGGAGGGAGGGCGAATGGTTTTGTCCTTATTTTCTAGGAGCTGAGGTTCAGAGGTTAACTGGCTAGTCAAGGATGGGGCTGGAACTGGAAACAATATTTTGACTCTGAGGACAACAATGATTTCCCTGTCACGTTTCCTGCCTCTCTCTATACATACATCCCCATACTACGGCAGAGGAATCCTACTGTGATACTTCCTCATGGTGAGTTGTGGTGATAACTAAATTCTTAAAGGCAACAGAGCCTGAGCTCTGGTACATCCTCCTGAGCCGATGAGGCCTTGTGATGTCTGTGTCTGTGGCCTGAGGACCTGGCTAACTAAGTGTGTGGCAGGTGCACCACCAGAAAGTCAGCTTCTAGCCACAGTCACTCCTAAAACCATCCACTGAGGTGTGGAAGAGTTGCCAACAGGGGTGATGGAAGTAGCCACCAAACTGCTGAAAGCATAGCTCTTCTGAAGTCCTGAGGGGCACAGAGTTTCCTGTTGTCACCCTAACATTTAGTTATTGGATTGTTTGGGGCTTTGGCTTGGTTATGGGTCAGGGCCTCTACTTGTCTGCATCTAGGCTGGTTGGAAGGCTGGTCTCTGGAAGTGCCCATTATACCCCATTGTCCTTACTTGTGTGTAGGCTAAAACGTAGGCATGAGACCCGTCAAACAGGAAAAGGCTGTTGTTTGAGTGGGATGGGTTTTGCTGGGCTTGCAGCTGAGAGCACATTTCAAAGGCCACGCAAGCCCCATAGGAGTAGCCAGCAATGCGGTATGGCCCCTCGGGCTGGACCTGCTTGATACAGTCAATATAGTAGGAAGCCAGACTCTGGATGCTGTCCAGGGGAGCAGCTAGAAAAGGGAGGCAGAGAAAACATAATAAGAAGTTGGTATGTTGTAAGAGATTTAGGTCAGAGCTCAAGAAGGCCTTCTAAACATTTCTGAGGTTATAGGGTCCAAGATAGTAGTAGGGCTTATAAGTAGAGTTATGTAGCAAAGACCCTGTATTAGCCTGACCAGCAGGAAGCAGTTATGGAACGTGGACCCCATTCAGTCCTCCACCATTGGAGAGGAGCTATCTCTGGAAGCAAGCTGCCTTATGGATGCCATCTACCAGCTGGAATAATGTGGGTGATTCGTTACCTTTGGTGCACTGCAGGCCGTAGGTAGGGATGCTGAGTTTGGCAGCGAGGCTGTGGAACACGGTGATTGAGCCCTCGATGGGGTGGACCAGGAAGAGGGGTCGCTCTGTGCTCTGCACGGCATTGAGCAGAGTGATTGTTGGCCCTTCGGGGTTTACTAGCAGGTTCCCCAGATTCAGTTTGGCTTCTTGGACAGGGCTGCTCTTTTTGGCTGGGGAAGATTTCGATTCTTGAAGAGGAGAAAGTACAGGTACCTTGTTCCACAGTTCAACCCAAGTTCTCTTTACCACCCATGTGATCTTTGGTGGACCATTTAACCTCGGTTTCCCCATTTGCAAAATAATGATCTCTTAAGATCCCATTTAGTTCTAAATTCTATGATCTCTAGAGGACAGAGCATCTCACTCAACCTGTCTCCTCAGCAGAGTTAAAGTAGGACTCTGCAATTCTAGCCTGATGGATGTAGAGGAGATGTGGAGGTCTTGACTTCCAACCCCCATGCCCATCTCTCTGGGGGAGGGGCTCACTTTCCTGACTAATTCTGGACAATCCCTAAGCATCCATCTGTCCATCCCTCCATCAATCAACAATGCCTAGGTGCCAGGCAGGGCAGGTAGGTGGCACAGTGGAAATAGTGCTGGGCCTGAAGTCAGGAAGACTTATCTTCCTGAGCTCAAATCAAAGTGCCTCAGGCACTTAGTAGCTGTGTGACCCTGGGCAAGTCACTTAACCCTATTTGCTTCAATATTCTCATCTATAAAATGAACTGGAGAAGGAAATGGCAAACTGCTCCAGGATCTTTGCCAAGAAAACCCCAAGTGGTGTCACCGAAAGTCAGACCCAACTGAAAAACAACTTAACAACAATAACAACAACAAAGTGTGCAAGTTACTGTGCTAGGAATT